ACGTTTATAGGTGTGACAAGACAATGCACTAGGGATGTGAATGTAGGAACATACACAAATGTACTAGGAATTTGTACAGGTGTACCAGGAGGATGCGCTAGGAATGTGTACAGGAGTACTTGGAGCATGTATAGGTATACAGAGAATGCGCACATGTGTTCTAGGAATACGTACATGCAAGTTTGTCAAAAGATACGTGTGTTTATAGGAGTTTTCAGACTTGCTAAAGAGCGTGTGCATGTACGTGATGAGTAAGCAGGTGTGTTTATTTTCACACACGCAGGTGTGTGTGTGTGAAACGGATAGGCGTGCACTAGGAATAGATTTGTGTCTCTCATTTGGACAGGTGTGCAAGTATAGGCAGGTGTGTTTAGGTACAGGTACAAGGCAGATATATGCTGTTATATCAGCTACAGGTTTGAGAAGCAGATACACATGTAAGGATGAGCTACAGGTTGTTGAAAAAAAAATATATATACAAGTATATATATATACGTACATACATACATACATATATATATATATATATATATATATATATATATATATATATATATATATATATATATATATATATATGTATACATGTACGTATGTATGTGATATATATGTATATATATATATATATATATATATATATATATATGTATACATGTACGTATGTATGTGCATATGTATGTGTGTATGTATGCATGCATGTTTGTATATATATATATATATATATATATATATATATATATATATATATATATATATATATATATATATATATTGGCACAGGTGTATGTATGATTGTGTGCATTCTTGTATGTGTATGTGTGTGTGTACGTATATGTGTGTACGTTATTGTAAGCCATTGCATGTGATAAAATGGGTCCTATTCCTTATGCAACTAGGGCAATCTGATAAGCATTCCATGTAACTTGCACCATAGAATGAGTTACGCATTTGCTACACTTCCTCATTCAGTTTTATTGTTTATATATACAACACTTACATAGTATCTTTAAGACCAAACATAAAAAGCTTACAATACTTACGTTATTCAGAAATAATAGAAGATATACACAAGATATACACAGATATACGTACCCAACAGATATATCACACGTACACAAACACACACACACACACACACGTACACACACACACACGCACGCACACACACACACACACACACACACACGCACACACACACACAGACACACACACACGCACACACACACACACAAATACACATGTACACACACGCACACACACACACACACACACAAACACACACACATGCACATAAGCAAACACCTATTCTTATTAAGATAAAATCTTAGAGATAACTAATGAATGCCCTAAAAACATCTAGATGCCCTAAAAAGATATTATTAAGAGTCTAAAATACTTTCCTCAAATATAATTACCACTAATATATGAAATAAAAAAATGGTCGAAATTACCTTCCAAGATTAACAATAAACCTTACGCGCCATTACATAGGCCTATATAACAACAACAACAAATTAAAGACACCTTAAAATACCCTGAAACAAATTTCTTTTTGAACTCACGTGACCTCACCACCTCTCTCTTTCTCTCTCTCTCTCTCCCTCTCTCCCTCTCCCCCCCGCGATTCCTGCAGGAGGTAGACAGTCGGAGGGGAAGCGTTTCCTCCAGGAAGGGCTCAGCCACCCTCAGATCGGCCAGGAGCGAGGAGAGGCTGCCCCTTCGTCAGGATTCGCCAAGTACCAGCCAGAGACCAGTGTATCCTGCGCGAACGACGAGACGGGAAGAATTCATGTACGTGATGGTGATGATGATGATGATAATGATGATGAAGGGGATGATAGTTATAGTATCAGTGATGTTATTATTAGTGGTGACGATGATGATGATGATGATGAGGGGGGATAATAGTTATAGTGTCAGTGATATTATTATTAGTGGTAATGATGATGATGAGGGGGGATAATAGTTATAGTATCAGTGATATTATTATTAGTGGTAATGATGATGATGATGGGGGATAATAGTTATAGTATTAGTGATATTATTATTAGTGGTGAGGATGATGGTGAAGGGGATAATAGTTATAGTATCAGTGATATTATTATTGGTGGTGATGATGATAATGATGATGAAGGGGATGATAGTTATAGTATCAGTGATATTATTATTACCGGTGATGGTGATGATGAAGGGGATAATAGTTATAGTATCAGTGATATTATTATTGGTGGTGATGATGATGATAATGATAAAGGGGATAATAGTTATACAGTAGTATCAGTGATATTATTAATAGTGGTGATGATGATAATGATGAAGGGGATAATAGTTATAGTATCAGTGATATTATTATTAGTGGTGATGATGATGATGATGATGAAGGGGGTGATAGTTATAGTGTCAGTGATATTATTATTAGTGGTGATGATAGGGATGATGATGATGATAAACATTGCTGTATTAGTACTGTTAATGAATTATTGATACTGTTGATGACGATAATAATGATAATAGTTATATTAATGATAATTCTAACAATAATAATGATAATACGATAAATGATAACAATAATAATGATAATAACAATAATAATGAAGATGCTAACAATAATGATAACAACCAACAACAATGACAACAACAATAATAACAACACCTACAATGCTTTACAAAATTCATAATGGGTATCCTACACCATACAAAACTCCTCTTTCCTCTCTCAGGCAAGAAGTGAGAAAATCGAAGGAAACAAAGAATTATACAGAAATGAAGAAATTCTACTTTGACACTTTCGAATCCTACGCCAGCATATGCGCTACGTTCAAGGTGAGAGGGATGGTGATGATGGTGAGGAGGAGGAGGAGGGGGATGGTGATGGGGAGGAGGAAGAGGGGGGATGATGATGAGGAGGAGGGGATGGTGAGGGGGAGGGGGATAGTGAGGAGGAGGGGGATGGTGATGGTGAAGAGGAGGGGAGGGGGATGGTGAGGAGGAAGAGGGGGGTGGTGATGATGATGAGGTAGGTGATGATGAGGTGCAGGCAATGAGGGTGAAGATGATGATGGTGATGATAATGGTGAAGATGATGATGATGAGGAATAGAATTAAAATGAGAATAACAGTAATAACAAAACTAATCAAATAACGATAATGATATCAATAATAACCATAACCACACCATTAATCAACAATAACAACAAATAAACCTCCATTTTCTAAATAAACCCTTCGCTACGAAACTGAAACTACCACTTGTTTACTGACCTTTTGACCTTTCATAAAAATCATGAATCATGCATAAATCTAGCTCAAGCATACAGTGTACATTTGCTCTATTTACTGCCTCCCCTGATCGATCTATTGGTCTCGTAGCAACAGATATCCGATTCACCATTTCACGGATAATCCAAGGGGTCGGTAAACTAAATAAAACTAAAGATAACTAGTATTATAAAAAAAGAAAAGAAAAAAGAAAAGGAAAAAAGAAATACTAGACTTGCTTCTGGGTCACGTGTAGCTAACGGGTACTGTAGGATAGAATGAGTGTGAATGTTCAGTAAAACAAAAGTGAGGAAAATAAACTGATGAATTAAATCGTTCTGAAATAGACCACGTCGTTCTATAATAAACCAAGTCTTTCTTTATTCAATTTATTATTTCTTCATTAAACTAGGTTGTTCTGCAATAAACCAAATGGTTCTTTATTAAACTTATTTCTGTATTAAACCATCTCGTTCTGCAATAACCCAAATCGTTCTTTGTTAAACTTATTTCTGTATTAAACCAAGTCGTTCTGTAATAAACCAAATCGTTCTTTATCAAACTTATTATTTATGTATTAAACCATCTCGTTCTGCAATAACCCAAATCGTTCTTTGTTAAACTTATATCTGTATTAAACCAAGTCGTTCTGTAATAAACCAAATCATTCTCTTTACCAACAGCGAGATCCAGACTTCGACGGCGCACGCGCTGACGACCCTGGCCTCAAAATGGAACTGGTCTACACTGTTCATGATTCTGTGCATGAGATGGTAAGCCTGGCATGCACGTAGACACACGCGTTTGATTAATAGCTGTTAAAGTTGACTTAATTTTGTTTGTTTTTGTTTATTGTTGACCTTTTTGTCTGAAAAAGGTTTGTATTTGTTTATTGTTGGCCTTATTGTCTGAAAAAGGTTTTTTTTTTCTTTTTTCTTTAGTGATTTAGGTATTTTTCCTGATAATGAAGTTAGTTGTCATTTTTTTTCTTTTTGGTGATATTAATAGTATTGAACAGATAGTGAAGCTTAGATTGCTTTCTGAATCTTGATAAAATCGAGTTTGAAGATTTATAAAATGGATCACATCTGATAAATAACCACAAAAATTACTAACGGTCCCTTAAAAAAAGAAGTGTGAATACAAAATAAACTAAATTGATACACAAATTAAGAAAAAAAAATATCCTTTCCCTCCTTTCCCAATTTCCAGCCTTCAGTAGTCCACAAACACTTTCTGAAGGCGGTCATCAACGCCCTTCTGCAGGAGCGACCTCACCTCTTCAGCAAGGACAGGGTGAGGGCGCTCTTCATCCTCCTGCAGACGCCCGTGTTTCTTACGCAGTCCTCGTACACGGTCCTTGCTCACGTCCTCAGGAATATCACGTCGTTGTCCAATGGCGACCACCAGCTCCTCGTCAACTGGTTCAGGACGTGAGTGTCTGGGGATTTGTCTCTTGTTGGTGGTTGGTGGCGCTGTTGCGTTTTTTTCTTGAGTTCTGCTTCTCTCTTTCTTTCTCTGTGTCTCTGTCTTTCTCTTTTTTTTCTTTCTTTCTTTGTCTCTGTCTCTCTCTCTCTCTCTCTCTCTCTCTCTCTCTCTCTCACTCTCTCTCTCCCCTCTATCTATCTATCTCTCGCTCTCTCTTTCACTCTCCTTGTGTCTGTTTCTTCCTCTGTTTGCTTGTTTCTGTCCGTTAAGTCTATCTCTCTCTCAGTTTCTCCCTCCCTCCCTCCCTCCCTCCCCTCCCTTCTCTCCTACCCCACCCTCCCTTCTCCTTCTCCACCCCACCCCTCCATACCTCCCACCCCACCCCCTCCCGTTCTTTCGCTGCTTACATTCATCACTTCCCCCTCTCACCCACTCACCCTCCCCCCCCCCCTCCTCTTCCAGGCTGGAGGTGCCCCGACTCAGGATGATCGTGGGTTTCGTTATCCAGTTCATCACCGTCAGACAGTTCCCTCCGCCTGACCGCTCGCTGCCGCCCTTGAGTAAAAGCAAGTGGTGGATTCCGACCGCCACCAAGGTCCTGGCGATCATCTGTGAGTTGGTGTGCGATTTGTTGTGGTTGTTTTTTGATGGGTGCTGTATTTTTTCTTGGGGGGGGGGGGTTGTGGGGTTATTTTTGCGGTTTTATGTTGATTTGTGTGTGTTTGTAGTAATGTTTTTTTTTATGTTCGTATTTATTATTCTCTCTCTCTCTCTCTCTCTCTCTCTCTCTATATATATATATATATATATATATATACATAACACATATATGTATATATAATATACATGATATATATATATATATATACATATATATATACATTGATGTCTTGCATTTTGTTATATCAGTTGCCATAAAACTGTTTATATTCCTGCGTTTATTTTCCTGTATCTCCTTCCGCGTGAAGTGTCTTGTGGCATTTTTTCTTCCCTCAAAGCAGGAGGCTGTGACGACCTCTAGCAGACAAGAAGGTCCTAGCCATCGCCTTTGAGTTGTGGGAATATTTTTCTTTAGTTTTGGCTGCTGTTATTTTATATGTATGTTTTTTGTTGTTTTTTATGTGTCTCCGTGTTTGTATTTGACATTATTTTCGTGCTTGTTTTGTATTTCTTTTCTTCCGTGGGTTATCTACAATAGTTTATCATCCATCGCTCTTGTGCAATATTTCATCAGAGTTTATTGTAACAAATATATAAATGGTTTTATGAATGAGAATGAGTATTTACAAAGCGCATACGATGACCTTTTAATAAAAAAAATCATCAGAAATACATGCATTCATCTCCATTCTTATTCATACTCCTTTTTCTACGACATTACATCTACCCAGCAATGCATTCACACTATCTAATCTCCCAAACACCAACATCTATCTCCATCTATCATCACACAGATCATCTCCCACACATCACCACCAACATTCACCCAATCTATTAACCTCTCCCTCCTTCTCCCTCCCTCTCCCTCCCGCCTCTTCTCCGGTCCAGATGCCAGCAACACGTCCTCTCAGCCTCCTCTCCTACACTACACTGAGTTCTACAACCATGCCCTGGATCATCTGGACCTCATGACGGAGTACAGGACGTGGCAGCTGCCGGAGAAACCTGATTCCTTCTCGTATTGTCAGTATCCCTTCATACTGTCCATCGTGGCCAAGAGGCATATTCTGACGAAGGTTTGTTTCGAGGGAATTTGTCGGTCGTTATATATATATACATGTGTGTGTATGTGTGTGTGTGTGTGCGCGTGTATGTGTGTGTGTGTGTGTGTGTTTTTATCAGTCATATTATCTATCGTGGCTGAAAGCCATCTATATTTATAGCACTAGTAAGAATACGTTTTTTTCCCGCTAATTCAAGGAAAGGTGAAATCAGGACTAGCAGAGCCATCTATGAACAGAGATATTTCACAAAAAAAAATATTTTAAAAATAAGTACAGCATTTTCCCCATTTTTTATTAATTTTCCCCGGCGGCAGAAGGTGAACCTGTTAACCCTTAACCTGTCAACCCTTAACCTGCCAACCATAACCTGTCAACCCTTAACCTGCCAACCATAACCTGTTAACCCTTAACCTGTCAACCTTTAACCTGTCAACCCTTAACCTGTCAACCCCTAACCTGTCAACCCTTAACCTGTCAACCCCTAACCTGTCAACCCCCCTGTCAACCCTTCCAATCTGCCAGCTTGAAAACAGCCTGCAAAAACTAACCAACCGTTCCCCTATTGCAGGACGCGGAACAGCAGATGATCCTGACAGCACGGAGGTCACTGGTTGCAAAGGTCGCACGTCACCAGCCGCCTCAAATTGACATTTTTTTCCTCAACATCAACGTCAGGAGGAACTGCCTGGTGGAGGACTCGCTGAAGGAGGTAAGGAGGAAGGAGGAAGATGTTATTATTATTATTATTATCATTGTTATTGTTGTTGTTGTTGTGGTGATGATGATGATGATAATGACAGCAATAATAATGGTGATAATGATAATGATAATAGTAATGATAATGATAATGATAATGATAATAGCTGTAATAATGATGATGATTATGATGGTGATAATAGGAATGATGGTAACGATAATAATAATAACAACAATAATAAACGTAATAATTGTAATGGTAATAACAATGATAATCATGATCAATAATATCAAGAGCAACAACAATAATGCTCATAGTAATAATGATAATAATAGTAATAATAATAATTATTATTATAATAATAATAATAATAATTATAATAATAGTAATAATAATAATAATAATAATAATAATAATAATAATAATAATAATGATAATTATAACATTATTGATGATAATGATAATGATAATAGCAACGTTGATAACATGAACAGCAACAAAAGCAAAAACAAAAAAAAACAATAATAACAATACCCCCACCCCCTCAGATCGCAACCAAGAAGCGGGACTTGAAGAAAAAACTCAAGGTGACCTTCGAGGGCGAGCCTGGCCTTGACATGGGCGGCTTGACCAAGGAGTGGTTCCTCCTGCTCATCAAACAGATCTTTAAGGTAATTGGCAACTGGTTGGGGTTCTTAAGGGGGGAGTGCGGGGGAGGGGGGAGGCAGGGGAAAGGGGGTATGTTGGTATGGTGTGTTGGGGTTTGTGTGTGTGTGTGTGTGTGTTTGTTTGTTTGTGTGTATGTTTTTTTTTGTTTTTGTTTTTGTGTGTGTGTGTGTTTGTAAGTGTGTGTCTGTGCGTGTGTTTGTGTGTGCATGTACTCTATGTATATATATATGTGTGTGTGTGTGTGTGTGTGTGTGTGTGTGTGTGCGTGTGTGTGTAGATTTTATGTATGTAGATGCGTGTGTGTGTTGTGCTGTAGATACGTTTATGTACATACATGTATGGATGTACATATAGACACATGTGCATACATATTTATATACATACTCTCCCTCCTTCTCCCTCCCTCCCTCCCTCGCTCCTTGCCTTTCTCTCTCTCTCTCTCTCTCTCTCTCTCTCTCTCACTCTCTCCCCCCCCCCCTCTCTCTCTCTCTCTCTCTCTCTCTCTCTCTCTCTCTCTCTCTCTCTCTCTCTCTCTCTCTCTCTCTCTTTCTCTCTCTCTCTCTCTCTCCCTCGCTCTCTCCCTCTCTCTCTCTCCCTCCCTCGCTCTCTCCCTCTCCCTCTCCCTCTCCCTCTCTCTCTCTCTCTCTCTTTCTCCCTCGCTCCCTCCCTCCCTCCCTCACTCCTTCCTTCCCTCTCTCTCCCACTCCACCCCTCCCACAACCCCCTAAAAAACAAAAAACAAACAAAAAAAAAAAACGAATAAACACAAAACACACACACACCAACACCACCAAAACCACCACCAATTAATCTTTTTTTTCACCCCCTTCCTTTTTTTTCTTCTCTCTCTCTCCCCTCACCAGCCCGAGAACAAGATGTTCGTGTACCACCCGTCCAAGAGGCTCTACTGGTTCTCAATGGGCCAGCAAGGAAGCCTCAGAGAATACAACCTCATCGGCGTCTTAATGGGGCTGGCTGTGTACAACTCCATTATTCTGGACATCCGTTTTCCCTCCATTTGTTTCAGGTAAATGGGACTAAGGGGGAAGGTGTGGTATGTGTCTGTGTGTCCTTTTTTTATATATATTTTGAGTTCGTGAGTGTTGGTACTTGGAGTCGGGATTGAGGTATTGCTGTGTTACTGTTAAGTGTTGTTGGTGTTTTTATTAGTTATTTAATTGTTATCATTATTATTAGTAGTAGTAGTATTGTTATTTTTTACTATTATCATAGTTATGTATTATATTGCTATCATTATTGTTGTTATTATTATTGTTGTTGTTGTAATATCGTTATCATATCCCTTTCTCCCTCCACCTTCTGTTCTTCCCTCCCTCCCTCTCCCTCCATCCTCCTTCTCACCCTCCTTCAATTCCTTTCTCCCTTCCCCCTTCTCCTTCCCTCCCTCTCTCCCTCCCTTTTCTCCCTCTCCAATCGTTCACCATCTGTTCACACAATTCCAGGAAGCTGCTGAGTCCTCCTGTGGTTCCTGCATACGAACACATGGCAGTGGGTATTGCAAAGGAACCAAGTTTGGACGATCTGAGTGAAATCATGCCGGTGAGTTGAAGGGAGAGAGAGAAAAAAAACGAAGGAAAACTGAAAGGAAAAATGGGAGAAGAATGGAAGGGGGGGGGGAGGGGAAGTGAAAGATACTTGGAGGAAAATGAAAGGAATGTGAATGATGCTTAAGTGAGGAGAGGATGAGTTGAGATGAGTGTTGAGATGTTTGAGATGAGATGAAGTGAAGGTGAGTACTGGGAAGAAGTTTGCGTTGAGATGAGATGATGTTAAGTTAAGATGAGGTTGAGGTTAAGATGAAATGAAACTGGGGTGTAGACGCTGAGATGAAATGAGGTTGGGATGCTCATGGTTAAGATGAGATGAAATGATGCTGCCTCATTTGCGTTGAGTTGAGGTGAAGTTGGGATTGAAATGAGACTGGGAAACTAGCAAAGAGCGAAGATGAAGATTGTGATGCTTACGTTGAGATGACATGAGATGCTGTATATGTATGCATTACATGTGTGTTTTCCTCTGTAAAAAAAAAAGTAATAATACAAACAACCAACCAGAATATACACTGAATATACAATTTGTTCTCCACCACATAACCCTGAAAAATCACACCGGATAAATAATATAACAAAAAAAAACAAAAACAAAAACAAAAAAACGACAATATCCAATCATGCCTTTTTTGCTTTCCATTCTGTTGTTCTTTTTTCTGTTCATCATTCGCCCCCCCTCCCCCCCCTACAGGAAGTCGCCCACGGCCTCCGAGAACTCCTGCGTTACGAGGGAGACGTCGAGGATGACATGTGCCTCAGCTTTCAGGTAATCTTAGGTCATTTTTGGTCTTATTTTCTTATTTTTTGTCTTATTTTCTTATTTTCTTGTCTTATTTTATTATTTTTTGGTCTTATTTTTTACTTTTGGTCTTATTTTCTTATTTTTTGGTCTTATTTTCTTATTATTTTGGTCTTATTTTCTTTTTGGTCTTATTTTCTTTTTTTGTCTTATTTTCTTTTTTTGTTTTCTTTTTTTTTGTCTTATTTTCTTTTTTTTGTCTTATTTTCTTATTTTTTGGTCTTATTTCATTTCGGTCTTACTGTTTTTATTTCATAAAGAGAATGGGGGGAGGGGTCCTACTTCTTTCTTTTTTTTAGTTTGTGTTATTTCACTATTTTTTGGTCCTATTTTCTTATCTTCGGTTGTATTTTGTTTATTTCAGTTCCATTTTCTTTTCTTTTTTGGGGGGGAGGGGGGATGGGGGGTCGAATTTTTGTTTGATTCGGTCATGCTTTATATTTTTTCGGGCCTGTCTTGTATTTCTTTCCTCCCTCCTCCACTCTACTTTTCCCTCTCCTTCTCTCCCTCTTTTTCTTCTTCTTCTATTCTTAAATATCCGCCATTAAAATCCTTCCTTCCCGCCAGGTTTCCCTCGAGGAATATGGCCAACCGAAGACCTTCAACCTCAAAGAAAACGGGGAGACGCTGCCGGTGACTAACGAAAACAGAGAAGAATTCGTGACACTCTATCTGGATTGGATCCTCAACACGGCTATCTACGAGCAGTTCAGAGCCTTTTACTTGGGATTCCATACTGTCTGCGCCTCGAATGCCTTGATCGTGAGTGCAGTGTTGTGGAGTTTATGAATGTATGTGAATGTATGGATGCTGTGTGTCTTTGTGTGTATATATTGATGAAATGCAGTCGGATATATGTATTGTTAGAAGCGCGGACATTTTCGTTCTGTTTCCGGACGGAATTATGAAGAAATTAAATACTGCAAGATAAGCGGGTTTTCTTTTTCTCTCTTTACTCTAAGATACGAGCCCATTCATAAATCTTTATCTTTTTTTCCTCCTCTCGTAGACAAGATACGCACAATTTTTCTTTTTCTTTACGGTAGGATACGAGCCCATTCATAAATCTTTTTTTCCCTCCCCTCGTAAACATCGTATTTCCAATGGTTACAAGAGAGAGAGAGAAAAAAAACAAGAAACATTTTCTTTTCCTTTTTCTAGATGCTGCGCCCAGAGGAAGTGGAGATGCTAGTCTGTGGGACGCAGACCATTGACCTTAACGAGCTTAGAAAGGTCACAGAGTACGATGGTTATAGCCCTGAATACCCTACGATAAGGTACGTAGAGAGGTGGACCTTACGTACCTTACTCGCTTGAATGAGACCGCTTGAGTGAATATACAATCAGAATATTGATATATCTGAGTATATGCGTGAAAGAAAGGAACAGAAATCAATATGGTATTATAAACCCACAATGAGAAATTTAAAACATAAACCAACATAAATATTATAAACTCACAAAGAGAAATTTAAAACAACATAATCCAACAGACATAATAAAGACAACTAACATCTAAACACACACACACACACAACCCACTCCCTCTACATCCCCCTACACCACCACAACCCCCCACCCCCCCTCCCCCTCCGCATAAAACCACACCCTCACGCCCTTTCTCTCTCCCTTCCCCTTCAGGTGGTTCTGGGAAGTGATCAACGAAATGACCATCGCCCAGCAGAAGAGGTTCCTCCTGTTCACCACCGGGAGTGACAGAATTCCCGTAGGAGGCATGGGAGAGATGTCCTTCAAGGTATCCTGCTGGCGAGGACACACGCACATGCTCCCCCAGGCCCACACGTGCTTCAATCAGCTGGTCCTTCCGCCGTATACTGATAAGGCGACGCTAAGGAACAAGCTCTTCATTGCCCTGGATAATGCTGAGGGATTCGGGTTGGAGTGAAGAGGCTAGGGAAGAGGAGAAGGAAAGAGGAAGAAGGAGATGGAAGAGGAGAAGGAGAGAGAAGGAGATGAAAGAGAAGGAGAGAGGAGATGAAAGAGAAGAAGAAGGAGTTGAAAGAGGAGAGAGAAGGAAATGAAAGAGGAGAAAGATGAGAATGATAGAGAAATTGGATGATTGGAGAAAATGGGTGAAAGGACGGGAGAAAAAAAATGGGAGAAGAGAAAAGTGAGAAGATGGTAAGGAAACAAATGAGAAAGAAAAGAAAAAAGGGAAAACAGATAGAAGGGAGGAAGAGTAAGAGTTGAAATGTATAAAAGGGTAAACGCTAAATGGAATTAGATATATCCTGTCAGTATATGTACGAAGAAGTAAGCATTGAAAAGGTGAAAAGCCTGAACATTATGTACAGAACATCCTCAAAAAAAAAAAAAAAAAAATACGGAAGGGGTATATATAATAAAAAAAAATGAAGTGTGAACAATTGGAACAGATCATCCCGAAAACACGAACAAGAAATCCATAAATTTGGAAAAGGGTGAAGAGAAGGAGAGAGAGAGAGAGAGAGAGAGATCTTGGAATGGATATCCCTTATAAAAAGTACATAAAATCGGGGTCCAGGGTTCTGAGAGAAAAAAAGTTTAGGGTGTTTGTATCTACAAATACCAGAATGGTGAGATAAAGGGGATATGTGTGTGATAGTGAAAAAAATATATTCAAAATAAAAGGAAAACAAAAAGGGAAAAAATGATAAAAGAAATTCTGCAATTAAAGTCACAAAGACTCTATTGAAAGCAACACAATCTGTACTGCAAGGTGGCAAAGTTTGTCTCGAAAATCATCAAAAGAAAAGGAATGATAAAATTCTATTGAAAATTTGCCATCCTTCCCTCGCTCTCTATCGTTAGAGCAGTCAGAGGGGTATGTATAATCGCCTTTGGGAATTGTATATATGGTCATTTTTCCTACGTGGAAAAATCGTATGTGATTCCTACCGAAACTGTGATATATAAAAAAAGCGAGAGGGGGTACTAACCTAAGAACATTTTACAATTTCATGATGGTAATGTTTCTGGTTAAAGCATTTTGTTTTACTCGGTTATTAGGCAAAACCGCCTTTTAGAATGTAATATGTATATATAAAGAAAACAAATCTGTATGTGCGTGCCTTGATAGATGCACATTTATATGTTTGTTTGTCTTTTTGATAAATAAAAGATATATACACAGTCGTTATTTACTTAATTTCAGGTCATATGTCTTTGCAGTTTCCCCAAGAGATGGTGAAAGGCCAATCAAACTGTTATATTTTTGTATAAAGTTCCTGAGGTGTGAAGCTTGTATATATGTATGAATTTGTGGGCATCAAGCAACCAAATCTACGAAGAGGAAACACTAAGCCACCAAATAAGAGAATAGAATAGATATTTGATAAATGGAACTGGCATAACAAGCGAGAAGATTAATTTGAAAAGCTCTTAACATTGAAAGGAGGAACAGAAACGAAAAGTAACGAAAATCTGTCTATTATATGGTGTTGAAATCAAACTCTAACAATAATATGAGAGCAACAACAACAACACACACACTAACAAACGAACAAATCACAATATACTCGGTGCGTGACTTTTCCTTAATGAAAATATTTATACGTTCCCTAACAAGCAACAATTTTATTTTTTCACATATCATTCCCTCCTTATCCTGTAACAATAACTTGGGAGGGAATATGTCAAGAACTTTTGCCTATGTAAGCATAAGTAACGAGATTTTGTAAAAGAATTCAACCGCTGGAATGAAGATCCGAAACATAACTAAGGATTCGGAGCTTCACCTCAAAAAATGAAAAGAAATATTACTATAATAACACTAAAAAATAATTGTACGTGGGCAGTGCAGTGTGTGGTTTAAAATGTCTAATTTTGCATGTTTCTCCAACTCTTTATATGTCTGTAAATCCATTTCTTGCTCAAAGAGAGATGAAATAAAGTCCAGTGAATCACTCTGCAACAATCTGGTTCTACACAAAACAAGTTGTTATGTGAATATAACTTAAGTGTAACAATAACTGTATGGGCACTGTAAACACAAGTAAAATATAGGAAATCCCATGTTAAGATTCGATGACGAGGAAAAGAGTTTAATGTATCATAATAAAAGGTATTCGATTTCATATTAACTGTGATATTTTCTGCATACATGTTTCACTATTGCCCTGTCCGTATGCGTGTACATATAGACTTGTATGGAGGAATGATGTGTGTGTGTGTGTGTGTGTTTGTGTGTGTGTTTGTGTGTGTGTGTGTGTGTGTGTGTGTGTGTGTGTGTGTGTGTGTGTGTGTGTGTGTGTGTGTGTGTGTGTGTGTGTGTTTCAGTGTATATATTAATGCATCAGATTACGTAATTTATTCATATCCGTAAAACTTTTCTTGAGCTGTTTCATGCAAATACAATGTTCAGTGTGTTGTTACCAAAAAAAAAGAGTTAAAAATGACAATAATAAAAATGTTAAATTTCCCGTTGTTTTTTTCATTAAAAATAATCCTTAAATACCGAAACAAAATAAGAAACATTACATCAAATATAAGAAAAAACTTTATCGAATATATACATGACCTGATTAATTTACTTTCATACAAAAAAGAAAAAGAAAAAGAAAAAAAAAAAAAATATATATATATATATTGATTACTAATGAAGGGTCCCGGGTTCGCGCCCGGCCAGCCCCTCTCAGTCGCCTGTCATGGGAGTGTTTCCATCAGCATGTCAGGGTCAAAGTTGGGGTGTTTAGCCATTAACATTATAATTACCATTATTACTGTTTTCTATGTTATCGTTATTACTGTTATTATTATTGTTAATGTTATTACTATGATTGTAATTGTTACTATGACTATTATTGTCATTTTTATTATCATTATTACTGTTATTATTATTGTTATCATAATCATTGCTTTAATATTATTATCATTATTATTGAGATTGTTGTTCATGATCTTGTTATTATTATTATTATTATTATTAATATCATCATCATCGGTTTGATTACAATCATTATCAGTATTATTATTGTTGTTACAATTATCATTATTATTGTTAGTATTTTCATTATTATTGCTATTATTATTGCTGTTATCGTTATTGTTAGTATTACTATTATCAAAATTGTTATTATTATATCGTTATTATTGTTATTACTGTTATCATGATTATCATAAATTATCATTATTAATATTATCATTGTTATTAATATTATCATTATTGCTACCATTATCATTACTATTATTATTATTATTATCATTACCATTATCATTATCATTATTATTATCATTGATATTAACATTAACATTATTTATCAATATTATCATTATTATCATTACTGTCATTACTGTTATTATCATTATCATTATTATTATAATCACCACTATCGTTTTTATTGTTATTACTGTAATTATTTTTTTATTATTATTATCATTATTATTATTATTATTAATATTGTTATTATTATTATTATTATTATTATTATTATTATTATCATTATTATTATTACCATCCTTATTATCTTTCTATGTCATCATTAATCTAATTATCTTTATAATGATAATAACATAATAATGATAGTGCTAATGATAATGATAATAATAATAATAACAAGAGTGATAACATCAATGACAATAGAAATTGATAACAATAAAGATAAAGATAATAATGTTAACAATGATAATGATAATGACAGTAATAGTAATGATAAAATCAACAATGACAATGATGATGTTAATAATGATAATAATAGGAAGAATAAGATGAAAATAACAATGACCATAATCATGATGATGATAATAATAATAGAAATAGCAATGATAATAATAACAATAAATAACAACAATAATAATAATGATAATGATGAAATGATAATGGCAGAAGTGATAATGATAAACCAATAAGAACAGCAACAACAATAATGATAAGAGTGAAAATGATAATAGCAATGTTGATGATAATGATAATTGTAATGACAACAATAATAATAATAACAATAATGATAATGATAATGACAAAATAATGATAATGATGCGATAATGTTTGCATTAGTAGTGGTAATAATAACGCTGATTAGAAAGATTATAATAATTTGATAATAATGATATTTGTAACAATAACAATTATAATGAAGAAAGTATTATAAAGATGTTGAGGGTAATAATAATGATAATAATATTAACATTGATAATGGTAATCGCAGTAATAATGATAATGAAAAACAATGACAATAATGATATTAATAATAATGATAATAGTTATAATAATAATGATAACAATGATAATGATAATGAAAGTAATAATATTGATAATAATAATAATAGAAATAATAATAATAATAATGATAAATATACTAATGATAATAATAATAATAATAATGATAATAATAATAATAACAATAATAATAACAATAATAATAATAGTAATAATAATAATAATAATGATAATAATAATAATAATAATAACAATAATAATAATAATAACAAGATCATGAAACTTTTTTTTTTTACTTTATTTTTCCCTTTTTCACCAAAGTACACATCATTTTCAAAAGGAAAGAGCTAAAAAGTCCATCTGCGGACGCCCACGTGCAGCCGCCGGGAGAGTCGGCGAGGCCCTGCTCAGTAGCAGCGGCGGAGCAGGCGGATCCTCTCCTGCTCGAGGGCCTCCAGCAGCGAGCCCAGGCCCTGGCGCTCTGTAGGGCGCAGCTCCTGGCTCTTGGAGAACCAGCGCCTCACCAGCTGCGGCATCTGCTGCTTGCCGCTGAATAGGACCAGCAGCAGCTTGCCCACGGCGTACGCGTCGGAGAAGCTGCCGCACGGGCCCGCACTCTCGCTCCCGCAGATCTCGAGGGCATAGCACAGGCGCTCGTCCCAGTGGATCCCCAGCCTCGGGAGCGTCCCGGCCGCCAGGGTCACACAAGTCGATCACGGTCACCCGGGCTCCCTCCGCGCCCATCCGCACGCACACGTTGGCTGGCTTGATGTCGTTGTGGGCGAACCCGTGCTTGTGCATCATTTGCACGATGTTGCACACCTGCCTCGCAACGGAGATCCTTTGCTCCGCGTGCCTGTTGACCAGGCACATCCTCTCCGGACACACGCCCACGAGGCGCTGGAAGCCGTCTTATTGGGCGAGCAGCAAGGGACGGCCACGAAGGAACATGGTCGTCTGTTTATGACTGCTTGTGTTGTGCAATCTCTTCACAGTTACATATTCATGATTTAATTCCAAAATATACGAAATGATGGCAAAGAAAATGATATAACAAGTTTGCAGAAAAGAACTTTCAAGAATTTAAAAAGTAAACTTTTAAGAATTATTTGATAATCATAACTGATACTTAAAGACAGATTTGATGACAACATTTTAACTGACAAATCATATATATATATATATACATATATATATATATATATATATATATATATATATATATATATATATATTTAATATATATATTTACATATATATTAAAATATATGTATATATATATATGGAGAGAGAGAGAGAGAGAGAGAGAGAGAGAGAGAGAGAGAGAGAGAGGAAGGAGAGACAGAGATAAAAATAGATAGACGGATAGATAGATAGAGGGAGGGAAGAAGAGAATGAGAGAGTTTACTTCGATCTCCATATTGGACTTAAACATAGATTATCCGCTATTGATCCAACATTTAAAATCACTAGAACATTCATCAACTAAATCCTTTTTCCTCGTCCCCTTACCCTAACTTTCATAGATTGTAACGTTATAGTGAACTAGCTGAGGCAAATAAAAGGGAGTCGTGAATCAGACTTAAAGTTTTGAATGCACACACACACACACACACACACACACACACACACACACAAACACATAGGGGCGCACGGAATTCTTAGGTCAGAAGGGGGTGTCACGAAAAACGTCTGGAAGACACGATGTTATAAGCAATAGAAGATCTTGGGCCCAAACTGCGTGTCTGTCGCTGTGAT